GTCGTTTGATTTACTTGGAATCGTAAGATTTGTTTCGTACTCACCACTCACTCTCTATTTGAAAAATTGAGATTTTTAGAATAATTATTATGTATCGGAAGTCTCGTTTTTTTCCTTTATTGTTATCATAGTTTATCAAGAAAATTTTCTTTTTGAGTCGATAACATGCATATGTAGTCAATATTTTGTGAAAAATACACTTAGTTCCTTTCTTTTTTTTGCTAATGAAAGTCGAAAGAACGAAAAAAGGCTCCTCGTTGAATCTTTGTATAGTATCATTAGTTTGCATGTATATACGTTCTCCACCATTAAAAAAGTAATAGTCATATGGTAATTTTTATGGTAAGCATATGTTTGTTTCATACAAAATAGTTGAAAAAAATTGTCTTGTCACTAAGACGTATCTGTAAATAAGAGAAAATAAAATGAAGGAAAAAATAATATGCGACTAATAAGGTATTTTCGTTGACATAGTTTTGCATCACGTTTCTTTCATATAATTTATCGCAACAAAGTCAAAAGAGAGTGAGCAAAACTGTCTCAGCAATATTAAAATCTGCAATTTTAACAACGATCAAACATTATAGAAGTATGAAAGACAATTATGTTGCTCGTGTATCACTTTAATTTATTATATCACTAATACCTATTAAGACGCATAACCAAAATTATCCTTTAATATTTAATAAATAATAAGAACAAACTAAAGAAAATGGCAGTTAACATCACTGGTGATAAGACGAATACAAAAACGTCCGATTTCTCAAAGGGCTCTATTACAACAACAAAAGCGTCTTGTAGTACTTTCCATGAGAGACGGCGCATAGTTCAAAACTTTTTGCTCCTCTGGATCGGCTCGGACATTGATCAATCAAACATATATTTCCAAAATATTTTGGCACAACTACAAAGCGTCGTGAACGATGTCAATATCTTTACCCAACCGGATGACTGCGTCGATTTTCTCACGGAAATCAGTGACATAAGAGCTTTCCTGATTATAGACGGTACTCTTGGTCAAGAAATAGTACCTCTGATTCATGACATTCCTCAGCTTGATGCCATTTACATCTTCTGTGCTGATAAATTACCGCATGAACAATGGGCAAAAACATTCGTTAAAATCAAAGGTGTACATGCAGAAATTGTGCCTGTCTGCGAATGTCTACAGCAGGATGTAAAGCAATGCAATCAAGATTGCATTGCCATGAGTGTTGTCGCAGCGCATGAAGGGACATTCAAGGAAAATCTGAATGAACTGGAGCCCAGCTTCATGTACACCCAAATTTTCAAGGAAATTCTTCTTGAGATGAAATATGGCGAACAATCCATCAATCAGTTAGCAGCTGACCTTCGCCACCTTTACTCCAATAACTCAGCACAACTAAATATTATTGATAAATTCGAGCGTGACTATTGCCCACAACAGGCAATCTTATGGTATACACGTGAGAGTTTTACTTACGAACTACTCAATCAAGCGCTCCGAAAACTCGAAGCCGACACGATCATCAACATGGGCTTCTTTCTTCGGGATATTCACCTTCAATTACAAGAATTACATCAACAACAAATCAATAGCTATCAACGAGAAAAGTTAATCGTTTACCGTGGACAAGGTCTAGAAAAAGTGGATTTCGAAAAACTTTGTAAAAAAAAAGGAGGATTGATGTCCTTTAACAATTTCTTGTCTACTAGTAAACATCGAGACACCGCACGTTTCTTTGCCGAAAGTGTCTTAACGAAAATGGGTACAGTCGGCATATTGTTCGAAATGTCTATCGATCCTTCCGTCTCGTCCGCTCCATTCGCCTCTATTGAGCAGGTGAGTTACTTTCAAACAGAAGAAGAAGTCCTCTTCTCTATGCACACTGTCTTCCGTATCGGTGAAATTACTAAAATTGACAAGAACAGTTCACTCTATCAAGTGGAACTTAAACTGACATCGGATGACGATGAAGAACTTCGTACTCTTACCAATCGAGTGCGAGTGGAGACTCCTGGTGACACTGGATGGAAACGATTAGGACAACTACTACTTACATTGCAGTGTTCAGACAAAGCTGAAGCATTGTACAAAACTGAAGCATTGTACAAAACATTACTCCAACAAACATCCGATGAGAGTGAGAAAGCACATTATTATACTCAGCTTGGATATATCAAGACTGATCAAGGTCATTATACGAAGGCTATCGAATATTACGAAAAGGCATATGAAATCGATCAAAAAACTCTTCCTCCAAATGATCCTTCATTGAGTGTTTTCTACAACAACATCGGTTCGGTGTATGTAAACCTGGGAGAGCACTCGAAAGCACTTTCGTTTTATCAAAAAGCGCTTGAAATCAAACAAGAAACTCTTTCTCCCAATCATTCTTCATTGGCTATTTCCTACAACAACACAGGTTCAGTGTACAAGAAACTAGGAGAGTACTTGAAAGCACTTTCGTGTTATCAAATAGCGCTTGAAATCAAACAAAAAACTCTCCCACCAAATCATCCTTCATTAGCTACCTCCTACAACAACATTGGTGAGCTGCATCGAAACATAGGAGAGTACTCAAAGGCACTTTCCTTTTACGAAGAAGCACTTGAAATCTATCAAAAAACTCTTCCTCCGCATCATTATTTGTTGGCTACTTCCTACAACAACATTGGTACGATTTATATGAACATAGGAGAGCACTCAAAAGCAATTTCATTTTACGAAAAGTCACTTGAAATCTTGGGAAAAGCTTATCCTCCAAATTATCATGCATTGGCTACTTCCTATAACAGCATTGCATGTTTGTACTACAACACGGGGGAGTACTTGACAGCACTTTCATATATGGAATGCGCTCGAGATATTTTACAACATTCACTCCCTGCCAATCACCCAAATGTTAAGACTCTGCAAGACAACATTGAAATTCTAAAACAGGAATTGTGAGATTATGTTTGATGAATAAAATATGGTTTTTGAGTCGCTGAAACTAATACCCAATCAGGAAAAAAATGCGGGTGGACATTTTTCGAATTTTGATAGGAGTAAAAAGAGAGCTGCGCTTTTCGCCGTCGGAAAAAGGAGATGGAAATATATCCCAGAGTTCTCGATACAGCTGCACACACTGGTTGAGAGTGAGGTGTGGTTGTGGTTGTGGTTACGGTAAGAGATGCACCAAATCTAAATCTAGTCAAACCGAAATTCTGGGTTTGACAGGATTTGAGGGTGAGGGTGTGGGTGAATGTGGGTGTGTGGTGGTGTAGGTGTGTGAGTGTGGATGTGCGTGTGGATAGTGTGGATGTGGGCAGTGTGGGTGTGGATGTGCGTGTGGATAGTGTGGATGTGGGCAGTGTGGGTGTGGGTGTGAAAGTATGGGTGTGGGTGTGGATGTGGGTAGTGTGGGTATGGGTGTGAGAGTGTGGGTGGGTGTAGTTGTTCTCTAATTTACACCCACACCCCACACCCACACCCATACTCCAATAGGCAGTAGTACAACCAGGCACATATCATGGCAAAACAAATCGTATCGAAACTTTATTATTATGTTATTAGTTGAAGAATGATCAAATAGCATAGAAAAATAGAGCATTCTCTCTCTATCAGACTACACAGAAAGAAAGTTTCTTAAAGCTTTTTATAAGAAACAGCCGAACCTCCGCCACTATTTTTGGACTGCCCTAAGTATTTTCATGGTAAAGCTGTCAAAAGTGCATGATTTTAAGATAAAAATTTGCTTACCTCTTATTTACTAGCATAAAAGTCTTGAAATTCCCTTGAAAATCCCTTCGAAAAACTCTTAAGAGAGAGTCCGCGAGAGGACCGAGGATTCAAGGCGCTGCATAAAATTTTGATTTTTGATTTGAGGTTCTCTTCTTGTTCAACATCATCGAAAACCACCAAATCCAAATTTTTAGCTCATTTGGATGTACTATAGAAAAATTAGACTGATTCGACTGTGAAGCACTCACTACCTACTATTCAAAAAATAGGCATAAATCATTCTATAAATGTCTATCAGGATTTTATTTCTACAAGTTATAGAATTTTTTCATGTAATATACCAAAAGATACAGAATCAAAAGCTGAACAAAATGAGCTATTTAAAATATTGTATATCATCTCTTTAGTTAGAGTTTTTAGTCCAACATGAGTACAAACTGGCACAATTTATGAGTTTATGACATGCGATTTTTAACAGTATATCTGCTGCCATTTTTCGAAAACAAATGGGACCACTCTGAATTTTTGATATGTTGTACAGCTTTTGATTCTCTATAAAATGGTAAAAAAACATTAGAAAAAAAATGGTATGTTCGAGTCGATATGTGGTTTACAATTGTCGGCTATTTGAGAGATTATTTATAACTCTATGGTATAATTCATATAAAATCGAACGGTTTGGCTCAGACGTTTTGTCTTCAATTAGACACCATCATATATAAATAGAAAGTACGCATCAAGATCAACATTTAAACGTTCAATATGGAAGATTAAATACGGTATTACTTAGCTCACATTGAGCTACAGAGTGATAGAAGACCATCTATGAGCCCATTCAAGAATCAAGACGTCAGTCAAAATATTATTTTTTCATTTGATATCTTCATCGAAATCTATATTATTTGACACTTTCAAAATTCAATTTATATTGTTTGAAATTGTTATATTGAAGAATTGGGCAATATCGACTTTTACTGACACGTCAATCGCTATCCAAATAAATGTATGCATTTCTTTTCAAAAATTTATCCTTCAGAATTTGACAGAAAATGAAATAATTTTTTAAAAATATATTAGATATGGTAAAGAGATAAAAAGAAATAAAGTATCCGACATAATTATATATATAATATATATTATCAAGAAAAAAAAGAAAGTGGCGCAACCAGGATATTTAGGCCAATGGGCAAACGTCC